TAGATTCCCAACATCTCCTGCAAGGCCTGTCATACAGCCCACTATTGGGTGGCTTATGCCCTTGTGTCCAGCTGGATCCCCAGGGATTGGGAGAGCCCATGAAGGATAGGACAGCGAGGGCCCAGCTGGGCAATCTGCTTTGGTGCCCCTTGTTGGTGGCCTTTAAGGCCTTAGCCTCAGCCTGAGCAGAATTTGGCTGCTTCCTAGTCTTTCATTTGCAAAACCTGTGGGGCCCTGCCTAAATTCCTGCCTCCGCGTTCCTAGCTACGTGCTCTGTAGCACGGGCAGTTGTAAAGTTGACCTTTTCACCCATTGGTTAATTATGCCAGGCGCTCATTGGACTAAGATGGACTTTGCTTTACACCTGATGGACCTTAATCTGCATGCAGGACGTCTTTGAGAACTAGCGCGCCCTTTTACCTACAGCTGATTGGTTAACGTTCTTATGCTTCATTAATGTACCTGTTGGATTGGATGCTGTGGTCGCACACCTTATTAAAATATGCACCTCCCAGTTCCCCCTTTTTTATACCCCAGCTTTGCCCAAATAAATGAGCTTGATCAGAGTTTTGTCTTGCTCCACGCCCCCGTGTCTTCTTTTCTCCATCCAGGTTCGTCTTTCCCCGCAGGCCGGGACGCAACAGCCCCTGACCTGGCGGGGTAGGGAAACTTCTTTCTTTTCCCTACCCCCCAGTAAGTCACTGGCCATTTCCAACACATCAGAGTACTGGCGCCTCCTTGCCGGGACTTGGCTTCTCATACACAGGGCTAAGGGGCTGATCTGTCCTCTGGACATGGCCCTGGGGCCCAGAGACCTGATGCTAATGAAGTAGCCCAATGACCCCTCCTCCTGCCTTTCTTCTGGGCACTCCCACTGCAAATGCCATGAAGAGGCGGGTTGATCACACATTTTTCCTCACCCACCTTTGCGATGCTGCCAATGTTAGGGGATCCATGCTAATACTTTTCACAATCATTATTGTACCTTCTGCTAGTTAACGTGAAAAGCACTTCTCATGTGTATAGTGATTCTTGCAGAATTCTGGTTTCCCGTCTGCTACTGCTTTAAGCCCTTGGTTGCTGACTGAAAGGTCAGTCATTTGAACCCATCTGTCGGTCTGGGTGGGGGGCGGGCTCCAGGAGCTGATTTTACAGTCAGGGGGCTTCAAGAAGTTCACGGAGAAAGTCCATGATCCTTCATCCCACTGCCCAAGCCCTTTCCGTAGCCCTTGTGTATCTCTCAGTATAATACAGTCAAATGTATGCATCCACGGAGTAATGGGTCATGTACGGCCGGAGCAAGTCTTAGGTAAGGTCCCTTCTAGGGTTGCTGCTCACAGAGGGACCAGGCTGGGAGCTCCTAGACAGGGGCAGGGCTGCGGGAGCCCTGCACAAGGGCCCTGTGAGTGGGGGTGGGTTGCGGGCAGTGGGTTTGGGGTGGGGTCCTTTCACGGATCTCCTGGGCTTCTCCTTGTCCAGCAGAAACAAAGTACACTTAAGACTAATGAGAATTTCCTGGAGATGAAGGCTCATTCTCCTTCCTTTGTAGGAGCCCTGGTGACACAGTGGGTGACCAATTAGACTGTGAACTTGGAGGCTCGTTACCACCAGCCGCTCCGCAGGAGAAAGCAGCTTTCTACTCCGGTAAAGAGTGAGCCCGGGAAGCCCACGGGCCGTTCTACCCTGTCCCATAGGGCCACCACGAGTGGTCATCGACTTGCTGGCAGAGTTTGTTTTTCTCCTTTCTTTGCTGAGGGTGTCCCATGTGACAGGCTGGGGCCTAGCGATGTCCTTGACACAGCTTTCTCACGGGCTAATTGTGCTGGCTAACTGTTGGAGAGTTCAGAGCCACTGAAGTCCTAGCTCCTCTCTGGCCAGGCTGAACGCTGCTGGTTCGGTCGGTCCTGGTCACACTGGATGGCCACTGAACACTTACCCTCTGTTCTGGGAAAAGCAGCCATTCCTCTTGGCAAAATCAAGACAATCACAGGTGCACGTTTTCCCAAATCTTTGGCTGTATTGCAATGGTTGTTTCACTTTGTTATCTCCAACTAAACATTCCCTAACCATGGATTAACAATATAGGTACTGACTGGTTTCTTTTAACAGTATTTATCCAACATAACAAAATAAACTGCAATTTGTTATACTTTTTTTTTACAAAACATTTTATAAATATTTTTACAAAATGTATACAAAGCAATTTCAAGTGAGACATACTATACAAATGAAGGTATTGAAGCAAAGAAAGCCCGTACCACACTGACGGTGGGTAACACGCCCTCCCTGGGGTCAAGTCAGGCTGCAAGGCCTCCCTCATCTAACAGTCTACCACGTTTCTTAGGGGCTAAAATAGTTCTTTTTCGTAATTGCCAGTTTAAAATTTGCTTTATCTTTAGGCAGTACGTAAGGACACAGAAAATCAAATGCTTCATAACAAATTCACGTTTCCACAACAACAGAAATGGGAGGGGGGAGGGGAGAGAAAAAAAGGATAAAAAAGAAAAGGAAGTGATTTTTGTTACTGAGTTACACGTCCTACACCTTAACTTTTGACTAATGAACCTGAACAACTGAATGCTGGCCATCGGGGGCGGACCTCGCTGGCCCTTCACCAGAGGGGGCTCCACAGGCGAGTTCTGACCCATGTGCACATTACCTAATCACAGGAGTAAAATACATTTCGAAATCTTCATTTGTCTTTATCTAGGATCGTTCCTCCATAGAAAGTAAACTTACATACAAGGACACGGAAATTTACAAGTTTCAGTTTGGTGAATTAGACTCTCCGTTTGCTAGAGTGGGTCTTAAACACCCATTCGGATGGAATACGGAGAAGCTGGGGGAGAAGGGGGGTGGCGGGGCAAGATGGTGTGTGTGTGTGTCTGGGGGGTGGGGTGATGAAGGTACATGAATCTTGTCTCTAAGAATTCCAGTGATTCGCAGTAATTCCATAACTCATCAGCAGCCTTCATAAAGGCTTCCAAGCATCAAGTTCCACAATGGGAAGAATTTGATCAGGACGGACCATCTTTTACGTCTTGCTAGGAATTAAGGGTGCATGAGACTTAAGAAGAGCCTATGACATCATGGGGGTTCCGGGCAGGTTACCCCAGGGCTGCCCAAACAGAAAGTCCCCCCTGGCAATACCAACTATCTTTCTGTTATGTTATAAACTAGGTGGTGGGGGAAACCCACAACGTGGACATTGGCACAAAAAGGGAAAACGGCAACCCTAGAATGGCCCAGTTTTTCCATTTCTCTTGGCTGGGGAAAGGGGAGAGGGGCCTTGCTTTGATGTCACCTGGCTGTCCCCTGGGGGCTTCTGTGTAGGGTGGGCAGGGTGGCAAGAGGGGTGTGTGTGTCTATGGTTGCTGTTGACTAATCAGAAGCCTCTCGGTCCATCACAGGCCAGTCTGGAAGGGACATGCCCACCATCATGACAAAGGGGGGGCGTCATCCCTGTGCTGGGCACAGTCAGGCAGCAGCAGAGCCTGGCTCTAGCATGTTGGCCTGGAGTCTAGCTGGTGCCCTCTAATGCCAGAGAGAGAGGCAGGGTGAGAGGGAGCGAGTGCCTGTACAAGGCAACCAAACCAACTGGGGTCTGCGCGCAGGTGGGTGTGCACATAAAACACCATTACGTCCACACGCGACCGCAGATGGCTACAGTGGCGTGGAGAATGAAAGGACTAACAGAAAGGGAGCGGCCTGGGGCAGGTGGTTGAGCAAGGGGAAAGGGAGAAGCTCCCTGCAAAGGAATATAAACAGATCCAGCCACCGGTGGTTCCCATGGAGGTGAAGACAGACCAGGACAGGGCCTGTCCTTTGACTCTCCAGGGGGACCTGGTTCTCCCCTCCACCACCCCCAAGTCCCCGGAGGCTCAGATCTTTCCTTGCAGTGGTGGGCTGGCTGGTGACCTTTGGTTTGTTTGTGTTGGGTTGCTGCCAGGTTGGGGGTGACTACTGTTCTCGGACAAGAAGCAGCATACACAAGGCCAAAGTCCTCTTGATGTTAAACTAAAAAAAAAATAATTAAAAATGACAATATTGTTTTCAAATGAAAGTGCTTTTGATGGTTGGTTACTTTTTTTGGTGGGAGAGGGCAGGCGGGAGAAAGCAAACCCGGCAACAGATAAAAACAGTGTACCACGGCATCTGTAGACAACGGCCAATGGAAAAATGCAAAAACTTGGGGTTTTGTTTGGATTTGTTCCCACTAGTTTACATATATATGCTTTTACATATATACATAGGAAAGTCCTGTGGCCTCTAGCGTGGCCTCCCCTACACACTGCCTGGTTCCCACTTTAAGTCATGTCGGGCACGCATATCCTAGCTGGGCGTCCTCCACCACAGCTCCGCTGAGCAGCGCGGAGACCTGCTCCGGGAGTATCAGGAAAGCACTTGACCATGAGCAGGGAAGCCTTGCTGGGCCTGACCCCCACGGCTGGCTTCTTACATCAGGGCTGCCCCTGACGTAGGACAGCCTCCACCTTCCTTCGAGGCGGGGCCAAGGTAAGTCTTCCCCGAAACAAAACAGAAAACCCAAGGACGGGTAAGGAAAAAAAAAACAACCACCATCCAAAATTTGGAGGTGCCGTGGGACACTCTCAAAAGCAGCTGCTCTCAGTCCTGTTCGACTCTCACTATTTAATACGTTTGTTCTTTTCCAATGACTTCTGATTGTCAGAATTTTGCCCGGGGACAACTATACTGTGAGCTCATTGAGTGCCAGTGTTGTTGTTTGTTAAATACTAAAGCAACAAACCAACGGATGCTTAAGCACTTCCGGAGCAGCTGACCTCATCGAGCCCCAGCCTGCTTCCCAACCAGGGTGGCTTTGTGACTCTCCCTGCGACCCCGTGCGTATTGCTTAGACGGAGAACGGGTGGAGATTAGCGAGGAGAATCTGGGACGAGAGAGCGAGCAGGCTGGAGACAGGAGACCGTTTCCATTGCTTTTGCCAGGGGAGAATGTAACTTGTCCGGGGCAGGGGTCTGCGGGTGGAGGGGGCGGTGGGGAGGGGAGGTTTGCTGCTATTAACACTCTAGGATACTATTTACAGCCGCTTCTAAAATGGAGTCCGTCTCTACAACGCCTTCGCTGTGGTCCGGGATGAACTTTTCCAGGCAGCTTTCCTGCAAAGCCATTGGCGAAAAGCTGGGGAACCCTAACTCCACGGAGCCGCCCATGGCAGGGTCGCTCTGAGGCGGCCTCCCGGCCTTCTTGAGCTCCAAGATGTTCTTAAATGTTGTTTCCAGACTCTTACTGAGCTGGAGGTCTGGCTGGGGCTCGCCTGACCCTTTCATGATGTCCGGGTGTAAAACTTCATTCTTTGGAGAATCCCTCAAAGTTTTGTCTTGGAAGGAATTGTGACATGCCCTCTCCAAGTGACACTCCGCAGAGCTCCTGGGGAGCTTGCTGTCAGGTCTGGACGGGGCTTTCCGGGGCCCATCGGGGCCTGGGGAGCCCTCCCCGACCTTTGGGAGGTCCCTGCGGCCAGCTTTCTCTTCGGAGGCACCCCGGGATGGGGCTAAGCTTGCTTTGTCAAATTTCAGTGCTCGGCCGTGGCAGTCTGTTTTTTTAGAAATGTTTCCTTCTGCGGAGACCACAATGTGATTAGGCACTAGATGAAATTGGTCATGATTTGGGGGTTCTGCCAGGCCAGGTTTGGCTCGGTCTCTGCTCTGGGCCTTGGTGGTCAGGTGTGAGGAGCTGGTCGCTTTACTGCCCTGCTGGTCACTCCTGCCAAACGGTGCTCTCTCGGGAGTGGCGTTGTCAAGTCTGAAGGAACAGCAGAAGTCAGCCTGGAAGCCGTCTGAAATGGGGAAACACACAGAACACGAATGAATGGCTGTGAGGAAGGGAAGAGGGAGGCCTGTCGAACAGCCGCTCAGGGGTCAGGTGAGGACACCTCTCCACCTGCCCACGCCTCAGGGTCGCTGCGTGTCTTGTACAGGAACCCTGAGAAACCCGGTGTCAGTCCCATTGCCTGGATCCTGCCCGGGGCAACCCATGAGAGTCAGGGGAGAACTGTGACCCACTGTGTTTGCAATGGCTGAGTTTTTGGAATAGATCACTGGGACTTACTTTCTTCTGAGGTGTGCCCAGGTGAACTTGAACCTCGAACCTTTTGGCTAGCAGCCAAGCACATTGACCGAATGCACTACCCAGGGTCTCACAATACCAAGAGGGTATCCTATGAAAGTCTCCACGGCTAGAGAGCTGCAGCCTCCAGGCCGGAGGCTGATCCCCTTCGAAGGGGTAGCCGCTGGGAAAACCAGATGGGTAAGAGGCCCCACTCAGACCTGTACTCTTGGTGCTATTTTTCAGTTATGATATATATATATTTTTAAACGAATGCTGTCTTTGAAAGACTGTGGGAGAAAGACGGGGCTTTCTACTCCTGTAAAGGGTTGCGGTCTCGGAAACTCACAGGGTCAGCGCTACCCTGTTCTACGGGGTCGCTGTGAGCTTGGTTTGGTTTTGACAGACTGTGGAAACAAATGGGGTGCTGGATCCGTCTGGTCCCTTCTTCACACTCTTGGGCGTGGGCACGGGGCTCTGGGGCATGAACACACACTTTCTTTGGGCATGGGGGCGTCAGCCCATTTGGACCCTGGCATAACCAGCTGTATTTGCTGGGAGCACAAACCGGATGGCCCACACGAATCCACCATGGGACCTGTGTGCTTGGCAGGGCAGGGGGCACGGAGAACCGAGTCAGGCTGCACAAGAGTGGGAGGGTGGCAAGAGCAGCGTGTGTGAGGATCTAGGGCCCGGGGAGTGGATGGTCAGAGAAAGGGCTCTCTCTGGAAGTAAGGGCAGTGAAATGGGGCTTGGATGATTCCTGTGAAATCACTCACAGAGGCTGTGTGGTGACTCTCAGTCCACGTGGACTCCCCACAACAGCTGGCTAGTCTTTTCTCCCAGGGGTCCCTGGTGGGTTTGAACCCCCGACCCCTCAGTGAGTGCTTAACCACTGCACCAGCAGAGCCCCTTACGTTGCTCTTGTTGTGCTGCCCCACTCCCAGACGGGACGGGGCGGACGAGAGTTGCTCCAGACATGCTTCCTGGCAGGAATCGTGGGTTTGAACAGACAAATGCTGAACACTGTACCACCAGGGCTCCTTATAGTAAGTGCCCAAGAAACAAAACAACACCACCACCAACATGAACAAAAACCAGACCCACTGCCACCTGCGGCCCTACAGGACAGAGTGGAACTGCTGCAGAGGGTCTTCAATCTTTACAGAAGCTGGCAGCCTCAGCTTTCTCCCATGGAGTGGCTGGTGGGCTCGAACCGCTGATCTTGTAGTGCGGCAGAATGCCTTCAGACTAAGTATAAGGATCATACTTGCTTTGGAAGTTTCCTGAGCTGTGTGTCCAGTGCAAGGCAAACACGTAATATTTAATTGTCAGAAAAGAGGTGTAGCAACAGGAAAGCAGAGCCCCAAAGCAGGGAACTACTTAGCTACGCTACTGAGTTACGAGACAGTTCGTAGCCAGGAGTTTGAACACACTACAGTACAGCAAGAGCTTCCCTGCATTGAAGGAAGGAAAACCGTGTGCTAAACCACATCTCGCATACGACACATGATCCTAACTGGTGATCACCTTAAGTGAGAGCCAGATGGAGGAAAACCTTAAATAAAAATATTTGCTTTATAGGAGGGATAAAATTTACATTCTTTGAATTGCTGTAATATTGCTTTACAAATACGTTTTAGATAACAAGGGTAAAATAATAGAAAATTCTTTTTTTTCCCCCCAAAGGCTCACTATGGATCAAATTTAAAATACATTTTTACTATATAAAATCAAATCTAAAATGTAGAAAATTGATGGGTTCAGAGAAAAGTATTTAAGTAAGACTTTACAATCCACTTGCTTGTGGGCCGGGACTGTGTTTTACTAATTTCACCCCCTAATATGCAGTCACTTGCTGTGTTTAATTGCCTGTGGGAAGTTTTGTTCTCGAAAAGGGGAGGAAGTGGAGAATTTGAAGTTTATAGTGGGGACAACATCCTAGCGCAGGCTAAGTGGAAGGCAGGCCCTGTCAGACAGCTCAGACAGCCCTCTGGGCTGGGGCTTCTCCCGCACAACTCCCACTTCACCTTCAGGGTTCAGACCCAATGGCTGGTTCCGACAACTCCTCCTCCCTGGAGCCCCTTCTCCCTGACAGAAGCTCACCCCAGCTTTCACTCTGGCGCATCTTACCGGGGTCTACGAGGGCCAGCCGCTTGTCCCGGGAAAGGGCAGCTCTCTCCTCCTGGTTGAACATCCTGTCAATCATCACCATCTCAGCAGACGGGTCGATCCGCTGCAGGGAGAGAGGCTGGTCATTTCGGGGGGCCTTTTATCCCATGAGCGTCAGATGCCTCCTGTCCCACGGGTTAAGCTTGACTGATCTGTCTAAGGAGACAAGGCATGCATCCCACAGGGACTGCTAGGTAGGGGGACTTTCACTGCTCTTCTCTACAGGCCCCCGGCCCGTGCTCTTCCTGAGGGAGAGAGGCTGACCATCTTGGACACCTTCCAGGGACGTTCCCTCGGTCCTATAGCCATGATGAATCGGAAGTGGCTCGAAGGCAGTGGATACTTAACAAGATAGCTTGACATCCTTCCACCAGGATGACCTTTCCCACCTCACATTCTAGAACAACTAAAAACAAGCCCACTGTGAGCTCTGTCAGGGTGACGGCCATGCAGACCCCCTGGGGCAGTTCTGTCCTGCCACGAAGGGTCAGCGTGAGTTGGAATTGCCTCCATGTCAATAAGGTTAGTTTCAATCCTTGTAGCAGACACGGAAGCCGACTGCCACACCAGTTCCTCCAGGAGTGGCTGGTGGGTTTGAACTGCCAACCTTTTGGTGCGACAGAGCACAGCTGAGCCACCAGGGCTGCTAGATGGAGTTACATTTTATTTTACCCTGAATTCCCTCAAAGCCAGCTTGTCCTGGACAGAATCAAATCTTACTATCGATGTCTGGGCCTTGTTTAATATGAAAATTCATGGCAGACAGAAAATAAGCTGGCCAAGTCTGGTCCTTTGTTCAGAAGCGATGGAACCGCTCTTCGTTGCCACGGAGTGGACTGTTTTACGGGGGCTGTGATGCAAACAGAGGCAGGGCACCAGGCCTTTTCTGCTGCAGCACCATCGCGTGGGTTTCAGTCAACAAGCCCGGGGTTATGGCTGAGGTCAAAGGATTTGCACAAGCCCTGGTAGCATGGCAGTTATGTGTTTGGCTGTTCGAAAGCACTAGCCTCCTCCTCGGGCCAAAGATGAGGCTGTGTGCTCACGTCAAGAGTTACCCTCTTCCAAACCGAAAGGAGCAGCTCTACCCACCCGACAGGGTTTCTCTGGACTTGACCGTGGTGAATGGAGGGACTTATTACAAACGACAGAGCTAGTCTGCTTTCTATGTATCAGAGTGTGGTTTCAGAAAAGGTCGTCAATATGAGACTACTTCCGATTCTGGAGGCCTGGTTTTAAGTAAATGTGTAAGTAAATACACCCCCAGCCCCACACAAATAGATAGGAGGAGGCTTAAAAATGTCATGGGGAAGTGAAATGAAAAGGTAATGGAATTTTCCCACGGACACTCTGAAGCCCTCTCCACAGGCTCTGCCTCAGTGGAGGCAGCTGACCTGGGACTGGAAATATTCAAGGGGGAAAAAAAAGGCAACGAAGTGGCCAAAGCCATCCTGGGACAGCTCAGAGGGCACATCAAGAGCTGTTTACACACCATTTACTGGGCATTAGGTGTTACCGGTAACGGAGAGATGATTTAAAGTGCATATGAGGATGTACACAGGCTTTGTGTACATACTGCACCATTTTATAAGCAGGGGCTTCAAACAATGTTCATAACAAAAAAATGACATTTTCCCAAGAATGTCTTGAAGCCCCCTCGTATATACACACACAGACCTGCTTGCACAACACTGTGTATATTAGTCTACTCCACGAATCTCCCAAAGACACATGTTCAAGCTTAATCCCAAATTGTAAGAGACCAGCTCAGTACAAGTTACAATCATGCAAGTCAAGGCCTGAATGATTTCAGCACTGCTTACAGAAGCCTCAGACCGGGCTTAGTCTTCTGATCATTTCCCGAGACAACGCGCTGTGGACAGGTGCGCGTGCTGGGATCAGAGAGAGGCGGTCCTTGCAAAGCTCTGTTTGTTCATCTACTAAAGCCATCCACCGGTCCCTGCTGAGAGGCGGCAGGGAGCATCAGTGCTGGGGCGGGCTCTGTACCCTAGCTCTGTCCATTCTTTTGCCTACTAGGACTCCTATCCCCTTGGTGAGTTATCTGACCTAATCCAGCCACGGTCCCGCAGTCCCTGTCTCACAGGGACCTCGTGCATGATGGTACAAGATGCTGCCTGGTCCTGCAGCATCCCCACAATCGGCTGTAGATGGGTCAATTACGATCCAAAAGGTTTTCATTGGCTGATATTCAGAAGCAGCCAGCCAGCCCTTTCTCCCGAGTGTGTCTTAGTTACAAAGCTCCAGGAGACCCGCTCAGCACCAGCCCCCACGGAGGGGTGGGCGGCGGCGGCGGTAGCGCATGGGGCACTTGGCTGGATCTAAATCCCCGCTTCCTACAGGCAGACAAGAATTCTACCACGGGCCCACCAAAGCTTTTCTCATTTATTAAGCATGAACACAGCATACTGGGATCGACTGTGTAACGACGTGCAGCCACTGTTAGCTGCCACAGGTAGTAGTAACAAACAACGGTCATCTTTTTCTAGTTTTAAACCTCTGTGCTTTCTAAACTACGTTTGCATGATAAGATTTGGAGAACTTCTTCTTTACCATGGCATCTTCCAGGAGGAGACATCTGTACTTGTTGAGCATTGCTTGGGTCCTTTTGAGCAGCTGAGTGGCAACGGTTTCAAATTCATTGTCCACTGGAGGAGAGAGAGCAAGAGGAAGAAAGAAAATGTAAGAGAGTATCAATCACCCCCAGTGTGGTCTCTTATTTCTTAGGACCGAAGTGCGTTCCTCTTCCAAGTATGGTAATGAAAAATTAAGAACAAAGCAAAACAAACCTCATTGCCCGAGTCAGGTCTGACTCAAAGCCACCTTACAGGCAGAGTGGAACTAGCTGCCTGTGTAGGTGTCTGAGACTGTAGCTCTTTATGGAAGTAGAAAGCCTCATTTTTCTCCGCTGGAGCAGCTGGTGGTTTCGAATTGCTGACCCTCTGGTTTTTAGCCCAGTGTGTACCCCACTATGCCACCAGGGCTCCTTACATCTAATCAAAGCACCCAGTGTTCAAACCTGGCTTTTCTCTCTGCCCACTGGTATGTAGCCACAGAAACAGCAATACGAGCCTGCTTTACCTTTAATAGGAAGCCCGAACACTAGAACACATAGTTTCGAGACTACACAACGTTTTTCAATATATTTAAACCACTGAATTAAATTATATGTGAATTATAGGCAAAATAACACCCTAAAAAATAAACACAGCATGTGAAAGAAAACAGTGGCACAGGTTCCCGCATCACACATCCATGACAAGAAGAGGGCTCCTGGTGCAGGCCGCCTAACCCTGCATGTCCTGACCATGCGCAAAACCCAAACAGCTACAACCCAACCAAACAGCTACAACCGTGGAGCATGGCCTCGGCTGGGCAGGCGGCATGACGTAGACACAAGCGGCTCTTGACACCTCGCCTATCATGGTCCTGTATTCTGTCCTGTCTGCCCAGCCCCAAAGGTCTCATATGTCCTCATTCACTCTTCTGAGCATACTCGCACCCCATATTCAAGGCTGGACCATAGGCCTGCTGCCTGGACCCCCTAGGGAGGGAGATAGTGGCTGAGGCAGCCTAGTGACCTCAGAGATCAGAGACCCCCCAGACTGGGGGACAAGCTGGTGACAGCTGAGGAAGGGTCACTCCCAGCACTGGATGGGAGGAAGGGTGAACTGAGCTTGGGCAGGGCCCACCAAGAAGGGGCTAAATTTGGGGTTGGCACCAAGGGCCCTAATACACCTTAACTTTTACGCTGAGTTCTCCAGAGACAGCATGCTCTGGCTGGCTCACATCAGACCCTTGGGGGATCCTTTGGGGGTTAAAACATTACATTTTTTATTCGATGTTTTTTAAAACATTAAATTAAATTTACTTAATTCAGTGTTTTCCAAAGTGGGTGATACCATTCCTTAGGGAGTGCTGGAAGGATGTGTGTGTGGGGGGGGGGCTGCAAAAGCAGACTCCAATATTCTATCCTGGAGATGAGCTACAGGATACGTTTTTAATTGTGGGGCTGGGGGAGAGGGTGCTGAGTAATTTTTTTCTGAAAAAATACATCTGATTTAATTGGTAAAGCTGGCAGTAACCGCTCAGGGCAGGCTTAAGGCCAGAGCTGTGTCTACATTGCTCTGCAGGGTACCCAGTCCAGAGGCACCCTACCTGTATCCAGCAGTCCACAAAGGCTTTGGATTTATGACTCCACAAGAGGCACCCTGGTGGCGTAATGGTTACACATTGGGCTGCTAACCACAAGGTTACCAGTTTGAAACCACCAGCTCATCTTTGGGAGAAAGAGGAGTCTTTCTACACCCATAAAAGTAACAGTCTGGGAAATCCACAGGGGCAGATCTACCGGGATGTACTCAAAAAACCCCCGGAAAAAAACTCCTTCCATTTCCCCCCTGGGGGAGCATCCAGCAACTCGCTCTGAGTTAGTGCACCCAGTGGCATCGCCTGGGAAGGTTCTCTCTGGTCACAGTGAAATTTTTTCGTAAAAGCAGTTTCTCTTGAACCTTGTTCTTTGTGATGGCCGATTTAAGAAGAGCATTCAGTTGTGAAAGCCTGTTTCCTGCTCAGGAAAAAGAAACTGTTGCCACAGAAACTGCTATGATGTGGAACACAGCTTACAAGAACAGTGCTTTCGGAAACGCTCACGTGTACGAGTGGTTTTTCTCATTTCAAAATGGTGAAATGCTGACGGGTGACAAACCCCATTCTGGACGCCTGTCACCCTTTTGAACAGACAGGTGAAAATGTTGATAAACTTCATGCCCTTGTGCTTGAAGACGCTGACGGACCACTGACGTTATCTGAGGATGACTACCCTGGGGAAGTTATCTGGACTATCTTGGAGCTCTGTTCATCTGATTTTAATGGAAGATTGGGGAATGAGCAGGCTTTCTGTGAAATGTGTGCCCTGGGTCGACTGGAAAATGCCGGGCTTTGAAAGGACAGCTCCGAAGGGACCCAGACTTCTTTCCCAAGGTCCTTCCACAGCGCTGTTTTTATGACCCCAAACCAAACATCCGTCAAGCCAGTGGAAGACGCCATCGTCACTTCACTTCGCGCCCCCCCACCCCCAAAGCTCGTCAAGTGAAATCAAAGATCAAGACGATGCTCATTTGTTTTCTGATGTGAGGGGATAGTGCATTTGGAGTTCATCCCACCAGGTCAGACTGTTAATCAAGCTTTCTATTTAGAGGCTCTGAGAGGACTACGTTAACAGTGAGCGACAAAAAGGCCTGACTTGTGACAGATGGGGGACTGGTTTTGCCATCAGGACAATGCACCTGCTCACCCAGCCATCTCAGTGTGCCAGTCTTTTTGCAAAACAAGCAAACAAACCCCCCAAACCAAAAAAACAGCGTGCCTCTCTTGTACCTGACCACTGACCTCGCTTTGTGTGACTTCTTTTTGTTTCCGCAAATGAAGACGGGCATGAAAGGACAGCCATTTGACGTGTAGAAGGTGAAGAAAAAACGGAGGTGCTGCCAGCCATCCAAACAGAGGAGTTTGAAAATTGTTTCCAAGAATGGAATCATAGATTTGACAAGCGAATTAAGTGTAATGGAGAGTACTGTCAAGGGGAGAAGCTTGTTTTGTAAAAAATTTACATACGTAGCTTTGCAAAAGAACTTCCAGGTTTTTTGGGGTACCCCTCGTCCTTTGCTCTATAGGGCTGCTATGAGCCAGCACTGAGCGTCAAGAAGAGGCTCCGGCATTTCAGTACCCCTTCACAGAACACCGAGTGGGTCACGATGTTAACTGTGGGCTGGACAGGTGAGTGAATTGGGAACAAGTCAGGTCTGTGATCAAAGAATAAGATTACGCTGGCGACCGTGTGGGGCTGTGTGGCTCGGCTCATCTGTGGGAGCAACAGAGCTGGGCCTGCCCAGGGCACACCTGCCTACCTTTCCTCAGGTCCTCCTCGGTGGGCGTGGAACCCTGGCAGACGTGGAAGGAGAGCAGCCTCTGCACAGCGTCGTTCAGGGATCGGAACCGACTCTTGTCGGGGGTCACGGCCTGGGCTCGGTCCCTCTGTAACTGCTGGAGCATGCTTTGAGAGAGAGAACGCCCCATCAGTGCAGTCATGGGAGGAAAGCTTGCATGAAGAACATGAGGTGACCCCAGGTGGTCTCGTCCAGACGGAGCAGGTCTGACCATCTCCACAGGGGACCCCAACTCTGGCCTCACAAGCAGTGCCCCTCCCATCATTCAAGTGTGGGGGGTTCGCATATGCCCTGGCGGCCTGAACCTGCACTTCCGCTTCAGTTCTCAAAGTCAAGCGTTTATTAAACCTTGCTCCTCCCCCAGAGCCTCGAGGCCACTCAAAGGATTTCTGGTAGATGTGCGAAGACAGAGAACTCTCCTCCTTAGGAACAAAAGAGCAAATGGTAGGCTCCAACGATATCCCAGAAATCTATAAAAATAAACTTGGAAAAGAATTTCAAAGTCCATTGTTACAACCGACTTTGAGGGATAAGGTAGCTATGGGAGGTCACGGGCCCATAAACGTCCAACATTAATTCAAAGGTACTCACAAAGCTCCTTTAGTTAGTTGTTTTGCAGCCGGTCTTTTCTGTCCTCCCGTGTGACTGTCCACCTACGGCCAAAGGACACCTCTTATTATTCCCTTTCATAAAAGCAGAACAGTTTACCCAGAAAGGTCACTCTGTTCTCAGCGACCTATCTAGAGCTATTACAATAAAACTGCCAACCTGGCCTTCTTACACATAAAGAAGAGTCCCTGGAGCCCAAGCCGTGTGCACTGTGTCAAATGATATAGCGCTGCCCGCTCCTTGGGGGTCAGCGTGTGCTTTAAGTCGCGAATCCCTAGCCCCCTCTACAAATGTGGAGTCATATTTCTGAAGAGAGAGATTTGTGGGCACCAACTCCACCGCCTCTGACAAAGCAAAGATGCACTTGGATCGTCTTCTCCATGGAAAATAAAGCAGCAGACGCTGGGAGTTCCCACTGCACACCGTGGACGTCAGCGATCTGTACGGTATCCCTCTTTGTTTCCCTTTCTTCTGTGCTGCCGTTAGGTATATACACAGCAAACCCCACAGCAATCCCGCTGCTTCCTCCGTGTGCACTGACCCTGGGGACAGCCTGGGAGCCGTGCAGGCCCGCTCACGCGCCTTCTCAGAGCCGTTCCTTCCTCATGGTCAGAAGCCCGCAGACCCCGAGGTCCCTGCCGACCCTTCCGAGCTGTGGCTAGTGGGGCCCTTTCTCAGACATCACGTCAAGGCAACAAGCATGTCTGACATCCAAACCCTGACAACTGGACCAGAGCCTTTGCTGGGTTTTCCAGGCTGGCCCAAACCTAAACCAGTTTTACGGCACTACAAAGGGGCACATTTTTAATGATGAAATGGGGACTTTTCTCAGCAGAGAGCAGACCTTTACTCTTGGGTTTTCAGACCAGTGGCCGCCTGAAGTGGTTTGAGGTTGACATTTACAATGTTGGGTCGGTATTTCTAGATGCCCCGGCAGAAAACCACAGATCTCAGCAGAACTAAGAAGAGCCCATCCATCACACCTGTGGTCACGAGCTAGCTACTGCTTTCAATGAGCAACGCTAAGCTTGAGTGTCGATTATCTGTTGGCTGCTGGTATATCATGTACTGACCAGTGAGGAATCGCATTCTAAACATGTCAGACATGAGTGGCCACATGTGTCCCACTAGTGCTCACCAGGCCTAGCCCCTGGGAAGGATTTTCCAGGACCACGCTCCCAGCACTGGGCTCGCGAGGCACGTGACACCACACGGAAACCACCGAGCAGAAGGTGACACGCCTGTGTTTTCATTTGATGACATTAAAACATTACCCAAGAGTCTCCCACCTGCACAGTTGGGTGGCCAGGAGACGATCCGACTACTTTTTCCTGCTGCGGCTGTGTGGTGCCTAAGGATGCCGGCAACCCTTTGCTTCCAGAATCCTGCCCTATTGGAATGGACACAAGGCATCGATCAGCAGGAGCAGTGCAGCAGGCCCCGCGCAGACAGTCCGGTTTCTTTACGGTGGAGGCTGGCCATGGGGGAGAGGCGCAGGGAAGCGCATTTCTGCACAGGCTCTGGAGACACAGCTACAGGCCTCTGTGGGGCAGCTCTACTCTGTTCTGCAGGGTCGCCTGGAGTTAGAACGGACTGGATGGCGATGGGTTTGATTTAGACAGGAATCACATGCTCTCTTCGGTCATCGGAGGAGCTAGCTCTGGGGGAGCTGGTGGGTAAGTGCTGGGACTGCGAACCGTAGAAGGTCGGCGGTTTAAACCCACCGGTTGCTACCTGGGAGAAAGATGAGGCTGCCTGCCCCCTGGTCAAGATTTACAGCCTCAGAAACGGCAGACAGGTTATTTTGGTCCGAATGGACTTGGTGGCGGCGGGTTTGAATAGTCTGAAAAGACGGCCCCAGTCCAGTCACTCAGCTATTCCCACATGACCTCAAAATGCTCAGAATTTGTGGCAAGAGGGGGCCACGGGGTGGGCCGACTTGGCTGGCTCCTGCTTTTGTCTTTTTCAGCACTTACTGAGGGGGGACCACCTTAGGAAGAAAGGGTTTTTCAGCCAGGGGGAGGGAGGTGGGCCTCTGAATATCCAGGTCCAGAGCACCGTGAGGATAATGGCAGCGTTCACTGGGTGAGCTTTTTGTCTTTCTCAGTGGTCTATAGAATGAGAGCACAGCTGACACCCAATCTTAGTGCCCCTGCCACAAGGGGCAGTGTCTGCGAGGAGGCGAGGGCAGGAGAGACGGGGCCCGTGGGCACGGGGAGGACAGCGGCGGCCCAGGCTGCTGACCTGGCAGTGCTGTGCTTAGGAGGCCGGGGATCTGCGCTGGCCTCAGGCCTTCTGCCGTCTTGGATGCTGCGATGGGGGATGTCTGGGTCAATGCTTTTTTCTGAGCCTGTGCAAAATATTACCAAGAGGGAAAACGTTAAGTTCACGGTGAAAAGCTAGAGGCACTTAATAAGTCGGCCAAGCCTCTGCCTGCCTGTCTAGCATTAACCTGCGGGAGGCTGCAAACCCAAACAAGATCGGCGGTTTTAACAGAGGAGTCGCCCGTCAAGTCCAGAGCACGGCCGTGCAGGGCCTGGGGCTCTGGAAGCACGCGGAATGTTCCTGAGCCCGGTCAGTGGGGATGCTGTTTCTCGCCCCGGCTGCTGTGAATGGGGGTGGGCAAGAAGCAGAGGCTGAGCTGGTCCCCCCGCCCCCCAGTCTCTCTCCAGGTAATGCTATCCTCACACCTCCTGGGATTAAGAAGCTGACAGGTGACAGTTAGCGCTTGGCTGCTGTCCCAAGGGCTGGCAGCAGGAACATAGGCAGCAGCTCCTGGGAGAAAAGCCCTGACAACCTGCCCCCGTAAGACGACAGCCAGCTGGCCAAGAAAACCCTCAGGGTTAGTCGTACTCTAGCCCCGGGCGCCATGGCGACTCGGACACAACTCGATGGCATGCAACGGCAACGGGATTTCCGGCCCTCGGGGTCCTGCAGGGGGCTGACAGCTGCCGGTCACCCAGTCCCGGTCCACGGGGCCAACCCCGGAGCTCACTGCCAATACGCTAACGCACTTGTCATCCCTGCCGTCTGGTCCGTTTCCAGTCTGCATCATGTCACCACCAGGTGGCATGGAACCCGGAAAGGTGAACTCAATGTCCTGTTGTAAGAAAAACCATCTGGAAAGGCCGTTGCTGTGAGCTGGCTCTGATTCCCAGGACCATGCGCTGCCCTGCGCGAAACAGAACGACCAGCACCATTGTCCAAATGGTGAGGGCGTCTTTACTACAGGTCAGACGGGCCGGATGGGGGTCAAACATGAACAAGCTCCTTTTAGCTTTAAAAAGAGTCTGTTTTAGTTATCTGTACAATACCTCTGAAGCAGGACAGGGCTTTCAAACCATCTTTAATGCTCAAGCCTCTATGTCACGGTTCTCAACCTGTGGGTTGCGACCCCCTTGGTGGTTGACCAACCCTTTCACAGGGGTCGCCTGATTCATAACAGCAGCAAAATGACAGTGATGAAGTAGTAACAAAAATCATGTTATGGGGGGGGGTCACCACCACATGAAGAACTGTGTGAAAGGGTTGAGGCATTAGGAAGGTTGACAACCACTGCTCTAGGTGATCATTAAGGAAGCCTGGTGGTGTAGTGTTACATGTTGGGATGCTAACCGCAAGGTCGGCAGTTCAAAACCACCAGCTGCTCCAAAGGAGAAAGATGGGGCTGTCTACTCCCGTGAAGAGTTAGTCTCACAGGGGCAGTTCTACCTTTCCTAGGGTGTGGTTAGGCGTCGTCCGTGATGACCATTTTATAAGACAGGGCTTTTTAACCTTTGTGTGTGTGACGTGTGTGAAAGTTTACAGAGCAAACTGGTTTTCCATTCAATTCAACCACTTTTATTGGTGACATAGATTGCAATCCCCGTAAAGCCATCTTCTCGCTTTATTTTTCACATTTTTTCCTTATTTTTATACTATTTTTCTTCACATGTCTTACACATTCCAATATATCCACTCACATGTAACTCTGTTGCTCCTCTTGTGACTTCTTCTCTGTGCTTACTGTCCATCTGTCCTTTCCTACCTCCCTGCCTCCTGAGCAGAAGCTGCCCTTTGACCACAGCCAGTCGGTTGCCTTAGGGAGTGTTATCTCCCCGTGGTTATTGCTTACCTGATGGGTCTGTCTATAGCTTGGCTGAAAGTGAAGCCCCAGGGCTGCCTTGAAAGGTTACAAGGTAAGGAAGGGCCACTGTCTACCCGTCTCTCTCAGACCAGCACACCTGGGTTTTAAATTTATTTTATTTTTCTGATTTTAAGTTTTGTTCTACATTTCTTCCCACTCTCTCCTCCAGGACCTTCAGATGTGATCCCTGTCCGAGCAGTGGGCAGTGGTGGCTGGGCACCATCTAGCTCTCTTGGTCTCGTGGTCCATTACTGCTTGGAGCTAATTGTTTCCATGCATTTTTAGTTTTTTACTCCTCTTTGCTCCACGCGAGGCGAGACCAAGAGTTGCATCTTAGCGAGCCACTCACAGCTTTCCTGACCCGGCTGCTCCCCTCACCAAGGGGGGGTAGAACATAGTCTTTATGGCCTAGGTTATAGCAGCTGGCCTTGGTGTCCCCTTAACTCAGCCGTTCTCAACCTGTGGGTCGCAACCCCTTTGGGGGTCCAACGACCCTTTCACAGGGGTCGCCCGATTCCTAACAGTAGCAAAATGACAGTGATGAAGTAGCAACGAAAATCATGTATGGTTGGGGGTCACCACCCCATGAGGACCTGTGTGAAAGGGTCTCAGCATGAGGGAGGTTGAGAACCGCTGTCTTAACCTATGATCCTGAGCCTCCGGCCCAGTGCTCAAGGCTTTCCTTATGGTTTAGAAGTTTTCAGAATGTCCCCTCTAGGCGCTACTACCTCCACGGTTTTGTCTTCATGTTTTGGGTCGCATTGGTGGATCCAGACTTTAGTGTAACCATCTCCACTTACACTGTGACCTTAACTCAACGCACTGCTCCCCCACCCCCACCCCCGCCGCCCCCCAGGGGCTGCCTCACACAGACCGCAGCGGTGGCCAAGCACTGGCTCACAGGCCACGCTAGCACTTCTGTTCTGAGCAGCGCGTTATTTTTCCTAATATGAAAATGGAGAAGAATTTGATATTCTTAAAAAAAGAGAGGAGGCTGGAGGAGAGCCCTGGCGAGTGGGAATGGCCACCTCGCGCATCAGGCCAGCCGCGTGCGTGACAGCGAAGAGCGCCGTAGGCCGTGCCACCATGTGCTAGAGTAAGGGGACAGCCTCTCCCCGGAAGCAGACCTCACGCTCCTCCTCTAGGGGAGATCTTGGCACACAGACACCGGGTGTGGAGACGCCTGACCACAAACACTTCCGGGGATGAACACCAAGGGCCAGCGCCCGTGAAGCAGACGCTCGGAGGAAGGGAGCTGAGACCCGCAGGGCTTCCTGCACAGCACACCGCCGTGGGCTGAGGCCCCAGGTAACAAACAGATCACCAGAATCGGCACGTTCAAGTGCCCAGTCCTCATAACCACGTTGCCATATTCGGGGGATTTCTTTCCATGTGCCTGGGTCACACGAAACACTCATTGTTCTTGCACCCACCTTATTTTACGACAAAAATGGCCTTACCCAGGCTGACCTCTCACCTCCGTGGCCTAGAACGATCCCTGGCTTTCAAGCAAATCAAGCGAAGCCCTTGCACACAGACAGTGAGTGGGACGAGGTGCAAGGACAAGGCGACGGTAAAGGTCAGGAGAGAGTTGAGCTGTCAGGGAGAGGGCGGGCCGGGCCCCTGAAGGGACAAGCAGAGGAGCCTTTGGGCGGGTGGCTGGCAGGAAGCTGTTTCTGGAGCCAAGTGGTGGCGACCGGGCATCTGTCTGTTTGAAAGGTACCTGTTACCTTCACACAGGTTTCAGGTCGTTTTCTAAGTGTGTTCTAGTTCTCAGCACAGAGGATTTAATACAACAAAACAAACAAATAAAACCGTCCTGGAACAATCTAAGTTAACATCCAAGTGTGAACATTTGCCCTCAGGTGACACTGCCAGAGGAGGTGACAACAAAATGACTGTCAATAGCGCTTCTGTGCGTTTCAGTCAGAGTTTACTGCTTTTGACGACTATATCCCGGCGACTAGTTATAAGAATCACACCATTTCTCCGAAGTCCAGCTGATATTATCAACATGTCCACAAGGCTACAAGGCTCTGCTCGCTCACGGCCGGGTGCACTGGCTCAGCGCGTCACTCAGGATCACCAGCACAGGGCGGCTCTGAGCCCACGATCCCACCCGCTCGGGGACCAGCAGGCCTGGCCTGGTTGCTGCCGGTGCTTGTGAATTCAGATTCTGTTCAATTTTCTGGTGTTTAGCTACAGTATTGTGTTAGGTAGTCTTTGCGAATTGATATAAGTAGTGTTTTGGAGAATGACGTAGTCATTAAAGGAACAGAAGGAACAAATTTAAAAAAGACGACTGCTTGATTACTGATGCGATAAGCCAATATGGAGAGATTGTCTAAAACAACCTTGTTAACAGTAGTCATACAACCTAATAAATATGACATTTAAGCGATGTATCCCTGCATCGATCACCTATACGTCTGTTACTGAGTGATCATCAGCATCACTAAGGACGCTGCAGAAATCAAGTCTTGAGTTGCACAATTGCAGGAAGCACCAAAGAAAGAACACACAGAACAAGGAGTACGAGGAGGAAGAAGAAGAAGAAGACGTCCTAAAACTGTTGTGGTGACGACGGGTACGGCTCTTCTTCATGGGGCTGAACTACTGGATTGTACGGTAAGTGAGCGATGTGCCAATAAACTGTTAAGGAAAGAAAGAAAAGGTGGAAGTGCCACGGCTAGGCTTTACAATTGTCAGTAACATTCTTACTTTGTCACTTGGTCAACGATGTAAGACTGAAAGGTCGACACCCTAAACACACAAACGAGGAACTGAGGAGGGCACCGGATCGCGCTCGTGGGTGCCAACAGTGGGGATGAAGGTGGTGCCCTGTGCACATGGAACCAGGGTCTCGCAAGAAGTCGGACAAAACTGTTTGATGGAAACCTAACTCCATGCAAACTGTCACACCTAAAGCACAATAGAGTATTTTCTAGAAGTTAAAAAAAAGTACACAGAGTCACTGTGCCAAAAAAGAACTCATTGACACTCCACTGTTTCAGGAGGGAGCATCTGAGCAAGAGCGGATGGTGCCGAAGGAAGAAGTCCAAGCTGCGCCGCAAGCAGGAGGCAAAAACAAGGCTCCAGGAATTGATGGAGCACCAACTGAAATGTCTCAGCAGGCGATGAAGCCCTGGAAGCATCTACTCGTCTACGCCAGGAGCAGCTACTTGGCCAACTGGCTGGAAGAGATCCGTGTTTGTAGCCACTCC